AGCAACATATTATTGGGTAAGACCACTATTATCTTTTTGTAAAACAAAAGAATTATAGATATTTAAGAAGTTAAAGGTTATTTTCAGGCACAGTAAATCTCCAAAGTCCAATGATTGAAATTCCTTTGTTAGAGAATACATTAGCAAGACAAGTTTATGATGTATAATATTAACTTGTTTTATGTTGCAGCTTTACTGGAAATGGAAACATTTTCCCTTCTTATCTGGCTGAAATTTCTTTTTTTAACAGAAAGGCCTGTTATTGGCTAGGTATACTTGTCCACCCCGCCCCCCGCCACTGGTCATACCACTTTTATTTATTTACATTGTATCTATGTTACATTATTTATTCAATATAGAAAAAAATTAATACATTCATAGTATTCTCTTTTAATTTGGTAATTCCACATTATCAAATATTGACTATTTTCGTATTGGGTGTCCTACCCAATTAAAAGAAAGAATGGACTTAGCAAACAATTCTAATTGCATCATTATATTTATATAATAAGTATTACCTTATTTGTCTCTTTTTTAAAAACAATCTAATTTTAAAAAGACATGATTAAACTATTGCTTACTGGCTTAGGGAAATATTTTTTTAAAAAAGATTTTTTTTTTAATCTTTTTTAGTTGTCAGTGGACCTTTATTTTATTCATTTATATGTGGTGCTGAGACTTGAACCCAGTGCCTCACACATGCTAGGCAAGCATGCTACCACTAAACCACAACCCCAGCCCCAAAAAAGAAATTAATTCATTCTTTCCACAAGGAAATTTTTAAGGTAAACATCTGAAATGCCTCAGTGACCAAGGAGAATATATTCCTTATAAATGGGTCATATTGAAAGAAAACCAAGTGGTAGACCCCACTGCACAATGGTTCTGTACATACAAAACAGAAATGGGGACTATACTGACATAATTATGCTGCCAAAAAAGTCCACGCTGAGAAGTCAGGTTTCTTTTAAAAATCCATTTTACAAATAAAATCCTTGATTAACTGTTTTGGACATAATACTTTCATTAAATGGGTCAAACTTACAAATCATTGCTACAGAATACAGTATTTTCCATCACTTTTGGTTGTTATGTATACTATGTACAGAAAGACAATAGTTACCTTATACTAAATACAGATGAACAAATAGTGTGTTGAAAACCAGAATCAGGACACATAAATAGTGCAGAAAATGCAAACGCCAAAAACACAACACCTCCTATTATCACAGTTCTGACAGATTTTTTGTGTTATCATTCCTTCCTCCAATTACTGCCAATCCAGTGTATAATCAGTGTCCCACTGTTCCACCCACCACTACACCCCAGGGATCCTCTCTAGCTGCCAGAACAATTGTAGTGAGATGAGAGCGATCTCCCCATTCTGCTAAGGATGTTAGTATAAGAGCTTGAACAAAAATGGGTGAAATAAAATGCAACGTTTTCTGAGGTATTGTTGTGCTTGTACCCGTTTCAACATCTCCTGATCCATTTAAGAGTTTGGTTCATTGAAATCTTTCATCCTTCTTCTTTAGTTCTGCAGAACTTCTTCCAGTTCCTCTTGACCTGCATCTGGGCTTATCTTTAAGCCTTCCCGAAGCATTCTAATGCCAAAAATGGCAAATAATGCAGTTAAGACATAATTCCTGTACACCCTGGGGATGACGGTGGTAACATAGCCAAAGAGAATTGATAAGCAAGTCATTAGGGTCAAGCATAGCCCCAGCCAACACTGTCAATCAGTTATAGTGCATCGCCATGATGGTGGCTATGAAAAATGTCTTATCACCCAATTCAGACACAGTGATGACTGATATGGCAGCAACAAATGCATAAATAAATCCCAAATTATTTTGGGTCGCTGACTCTTCATTATTTGTATGAACTGGGGCTGCTGGAGTACATCCTTTCTTGGCCCCTGCACACCAGCAGGCTGTGGCTTCAGTTGCTGGGCAGCTAACAGYGGTTCCTTGTTCTGGTGGCTAAGGTCTTTGTCTGGTCCAGCGCAGACCCTGACTTCGAACAACAGCAAAGGACCCAGCAGGAGCAGAAGTAGCCAGGCGCCATCTCACCTAGCCAGCTGCCCACACACCTATACCTTTTTTTTTTTTCCCCAAAGCAAAAAATTTCATTAGTAAACACCAACTAAAAATGATATATTATGGAATAATATAATAGTACAATGACGTACGGAATGTTATTGGGTACTCAACTGACAATCTTCAATTTTATCATGTTACAGTAAAAAGACCCTATTATCATTACTTTATAAAAGAAAAGAAATAATGCAAAAAATCATGATGTACATAATCTCAAGGACAGTCCTTTTCAAGAAAGGCTATATGGATAGTCTTGCTGGTCATTATCCATATTTTACTCATTTTTGTATAGATAAATAAAAATTTTGTCAAAGATTAGCATAAATCTGTTGACCAGAATTTGGGAACCACTATTTTAGAATTTCAAAACACTTAACCTTAAATCTCAGATTTAAAGGAGTTTATAAATTGTAATACCAGCTGGTTTAGGTGTATTGGTTGTCCCAACTGTGCCCCTTAGCCCTTACCCTTCCATCTGCATGTCTCCTGCTGTGGCCCAGGCTCTTGTCAGCTTACTAGCTCTTGCTCCATCTTTTCAGTAGCCTCCTAACCACCTTTTCTTCTTCACCACCACCACAGTGATCTTCTAATGCAAGAATTTTGACACTCTCCATTGCTATAAGTTACTGAATTGATACACAAAGTGATACCAAGAAGGAGAGACTTTATCACTAGTCACATTCTACTAATGCTCAGAAGGCAGGTTGACTAGAATAACAGATTTTTTCAAAGCTGGCTCCCAGGAAGATAGAAGAGACATTTTCTATCTCAAATCTCCATCTTCAAGTGTTCAGGGGCATAGTAGGTTTTATGAGAGTAGAGGGGGCACAATGGGACAAAAAGCAGGGAATAAACAAATAGATTTAGCTATGTTGTGGTAATCAGAAGCATGTCACAATCTGCTTCCCCAGTGCCCATCTGGGCCATGGGGCAGCCCCTCAGCTTCCATCCTTGGTATGAGAAGTTCAGGAGCTAAAACAATTCTAAGCTTGCATTTATTTATTTAGGTACTAGAGATTGAACCCAGGGGCACTTTACCACTGAGTTACATCTCCAGTCCTTGTTTTTTATTTTGAGACAGGGTCTTGCTAAGTTTGGCCTCAAACTTGTGATCCTCCTGCCTCAGCCTCCTGAATCTGATATTATAGGCATGTACCACCACACTTGGCCAATTCTAAGCTTTTGATTTCAGCCAAATTTTAAAAATTGTGGGCTGTTTCAAAAGTATTTCACAGTCTGGCCTCACCAGACGATAAACCACTTCCTATGATCCTCTGTTAAATGGCTTAAGTAAGCAGAAGTTTATTTCTCTTCATGTAAAAGAAGTCTGGAGGAAGGTACTCTAAATATAGTATAGTGGTAGCATGGTGTTTTCAGGGACTGACTCCTTTCGTCCTTCTGCTTCACCATCCTAGCTCAGTGTTTTCCCTGAAGTTTTCTTTGTGATCCAAGATGGGTGATAGAGCTTCAAACATGACATAGCAGAAAGGAGGAAAGGAAAATATGCAAAAGGGTACCTTTTTTAGCCATGCCAGTTCCCTTTATGCATCCTTTCCAGAGTCCCACATAATAATTCTGCTGTATCTGACTGCATCTAGCTGCGAGGTAGCTGGGAAGTGTAGTCTTTGAGGGTATATTGCCTGCTTGAATTAAATTAGGATTAATTAGATTTTACCAGGAAAAGAAGGAAAAAAATGGATATTGAAGGGTATGCAGATCCTCTGCCACATGTATGTAGTTTTTATGAAATTACACATTTTATGAAATTAATGTACACATCTTGCAATCTTTTTTATGCTTAACATTTTATTGCACACATTTTCCATTTTCTTCAACATTAAAAACTTCATAGGGGGCTGGGATTGTGGCTCAGTGGTGGAGTGCTTGCCTAGCACGGGCGGGACCCGGGTTCCATCCTCAGCACCACATAAAAAATAAAGGCATTGTGTTGTGTCCATCTACGCCTAAAAAATAAATATTAAAAAAAAGTATTAAAAAAAACTTCATAGTAATCCATTCACAAAAAAAAACATTGTTAAGCAACCCATTTTAAATCCTCTATTTTGAAACAATTGGGGCTAGTTTTGATTTGGGGCAATTATAAACAAGTCAGTGATAATTTTTTTAAACTTGGGAATGAACCCAGGGCCTTCAGCATGCTAAACATGCACTCTGCCGCTATGTCACACCCCCAACCCCTCTGTGATTATAGTTCTTATAGCTAAATCTTATAATTCATGTCCTTAAATGATATCCCTACAAATGAAACCATTGAATCAAAGAGTATGTTATTTTAAGGTTTCTAATACATGATTCCAAAATGTCTTCCAAAAGTTAGCCTTGTTGAAAAATGTTATAGGTTTCTTCTTTTTCCCATTTAAAAAGAAATACTTAGGACACAAAAAAGAATAGAGAGTAACACAGAGTATAAATTGGGTGTATTTACTATTTGGTTAAACTGAACCATTTTCAAAAATTATATTGTTCACATGCTTAAATAAATGAGTCATCACCTATTTACTGAGTGTTTGGATATGAATGGAAATTTAATTAAGATCCTTGCCTTTAATGAGCATGCATTTTTTGAGCAGTGATGAGATTATTGAAATAGGCATGTTTTAAGGTACCTCTGGAGGTTTTGTTAAAAACTTAGTTTATAGCTATAGCTATTTGAATCTGAGAAGATAGCAAGCCATATTAGATAGTGTGCAGTGCTCCTAAGCAGAATAGGTCTGTGGACATTATATAATCTTCCTGTTCTGTGAATTAATAAATTTAAGATTAAGAATAGTCCAGGAAGGGGTTCCCCAGAGCAAGGGGTTGAACTAAAACACGTGTGACTTATTGTGAGAAATGTTTATATTGTACATAACTAATATTTGTTTTTTCCCCTATTCCCAGATTTGGCATAAGAGGAAAGAAGTTACATTTTTCACCTTCTTATGCTCAAAAAGTATCTTCCATTGCCAGATCCCCTGGTTTGTGTGCTGTGGAAAGAGAAGAAGACTGTATAATCTTCTCAGAAGGAATAATTGAGGAATACCTAGCTTTCGACCATACAGATATGTGAGTTTTGTTTAAGCTATTTTTTTTAAATATTTTTTTTTTTTAGTTGTAGATGGACACAATGTCTCCATTTTTATTTATTTTTATGTGGTGCTGGGGACCAAACCAGGGGCTCACGCATGCGAGGCAAGCGCTCTATCTCTGAGCTACAACCCCAGCCCTTGTTTAAGCTTCTTTACTCCCCTTCTAGTTTGTGTATTAATATCTATTTGTTCTAAACTGAGAATAACAATATTACCTATAATTAGCTCTATACCAGTATGTGGTTTGTCAGTTAGCCCAAGTATCCAGACTTCATGTTCTTAGCTATTGCTTCCACATACTAGGCTTCCTTGGTATTTTCTTCCTTCACACATCATTGCCTTTTCCTGCGATCAGAGACCTTATTTTTTAATTTATTTTATTATGTTGCAGTACTGATGATTGAAATCAGGGCTTTACACATGCTATGTGTGTTAGTGAGCTTTTCATCAGCATGTCCAAAATACCTGTTGGGAACAACTTAAAGGAGGAAAGATTTATTTTGGCTCATGGTTTCAGAGATCTTAGCTCATGATTGGCGAGTTCCATTGCTTTGGGCTTGAGGCAAAGCAGAACATCATAGCAGAAGGACAGCAGAGGAACGCTGTTCAGCTCATGGCAGCCAGGAAACAGACAAGACAAGACCAGCAATGAGACACAGTCCCCCAAGAGCACATCCCCAGCAACCTAATTCACCCAACCACGCCCACCACTAGTCCCTTCAGCTATCAGTGTATTAATCCATTGATGAGAGCTGAACCTTCATGATCTAATCACTTCCCAAAAGCCATACCTCTAAATTTTGCTGCATGGGGGACCATTCCTTAAACACCTGAGACTTTGGGGGACATTCCAGATTCAAACCATAACACTAGACAAGTGCTCTACCACTGAGCTACATTCCCAACTCTTTTAAAAAATTTCTTTGTTCTTTTTAGTTATACATGAGAATAGAATGTATTTTGACATATTAGATATACAGGAAATACAACTTCCCATTCTTGTGGTTGTACATGATGTGGAGTTACACTGGTCATGTATTCATATATGAACATAGAAAATTTATGTCCAATGCATTCTACTGTCTTTCCTATTCCCACTTATTCTCCCTTCCCTTCATTCCCCTTGGTCTAATCCAATGAACTTCTGTTTTTCCCTCCTGCCCTGTTAGCATCCACATATAAGAGAACATTTGGCCTTTAGTTTTTTTGATTGACTTATTTCGCTTAGCATGATAGTTAGTGTCTAGTTCTATCCACTTACTGTCAAATGTCATAATTTCATTCTTCTTTATGGCTAATATTCCATTGTGTATATGTATACCACATTTTCTTTATCCATTTTCATCTGTTGAAGGTCCCAACTCTTTCTATTTTGACATAAGGTCTTGCTACATTGCCTTGGCTGGCCTCAAACTTGTGATCATTCTGCCTCTTTCTATAGTTTCCTATCTAATTTTTGAGAGTTCTGCTGCCTCAGGATAACCTCCATTGTAAAGGCCTGGAGATAGTTCTCCCAATCCCAAGCCAGTTCCAGAATTTGCTTTGCCTTCATTTATAATTTATCTCTGTGTGATAGACAAACATGTCTAATTTGGGAGACATGACTAATTGGGAATTTCTGGGTCACAAGTACAAGAGTCTCCAGAAGAGCCTTAGAGGAGCTTCTATGCATTTAGCTCCCCTCCTTTTTAGCAGAGTAGTGGGGAAGGTTGGAGGTTTTACAAAAAAAAAAAAAAGAAAAGAAAAGAAATGTAGTCTTCCCTGTTGAGAACTCCGTTAGTTCACAAGGCTGCTTTAATTCTGTGTGCTACATACACTGGGCAAGGAGGAGGGTAGGATGATATCACCAGTCACATTCCTAAGAAGCATAAAGGACAATGGTGGACACTCAGTGAAGAGTAATCATCAAATTTTTTCATCTTGTTTCCATTCCAGGGAAGAGGGATTTCATGAAAGTAAATCAGAAGCAGCTACAAAGRAACAGAAATTAGGGTACCCTCCCATTGCTCCATTTTACTGCATAAAAGAGGACATTCTTGCTTATGTGTTTGACAACGTGTGGAGCAAAATTGTGAGCTGTTTGGAGCAATTGACACGTAGTTACTGGGAGGGATCTGCTTCTGGTAAGAATCTTTGTGAATCTTTGTGAAAACATTGTCAAAAATAATTGTTTATGATTTCTGAAGCCTAACCAGTCCATTAGATTTATGCTTTATTGTGAAAAGGGGATGTATGAGAGAGGAAAACCAATGTCTTTTCCTACTTTCACACACTGCAACAGTTATGACACCTAATATATAAAGGGTTTTCCACAAATACCCACCAGATTCTCTAGCAGATACCACCTGGGGGGGGTCCTATGATTCAGACCAATATTGATACTATCAACATGGAGCTAACATCAGATCCCACAGGGTAAGAGGCTCAGTTCCACAAGACTGCCCCACTTCAGATCACAGTTGCAAGCCTTGGGTTGTGACCTGGGCTTCTGACCAACCAAATCAGGATTCCTGTGACACATGCCCTGATCCCCCACAGGTTTGATTAATTTGCTGGGATGGTTCACAGAACTCAGGGAAAGAGTTATTTATGTTTACTAGTTTATTATAAAGAATATTGGGGATGTGGCTCAAGCGGTAGCACGCTCGCCTGGCATGCGTGCGGCCCGGGTTCGATCCTCAGTACCACATACAGACAAAGATGTTGTGTCTGCTGAAAACTAAAAGAAAAAATAAATATTAAAATTCTCTGTCTCTCTCTTTAAAAAAAAAATATTACAAGGATACAGATGAGGGGCTGGGGATGTGGCTCAAGCGGTAGCGCGCCCGTCTAGCATGCACGCGGCCCGGGTTCGATCCTCAGCACCACATACCAACAAAGATGTTGTGTCTGCCGAAAACTAAGAAATAAAATGTTAAGATTCTCTCTCTCTCTCTCTCTCTCTCTCTCTCTCCTCACTCTCTCTTTAAAAAAAAAAAAAAAAAAGGATACAGATGAATAGCTAGATGAAGAGATACACAGGGCAAAGTATGGGAGAAGGGGTGCAGAGGTCCCATGGCTTCTCTGGACACTCCACCCTCTAGGCTTCTCCACATGTTCAGCAATCTGGAAGTTCTCTGAACCAGTCCTTTTGGGTTTTTATGGGTGCTTCATTACATAGACAGGATTGAGTAATTCAGTGGCAACTGATGATCATCTCAACCTTCAGCTCCTCTGCCCTCCAGAGGTCAGAAGGATGAGGCAAGACTGAAAGTTTGAAGGCTTCTAATCACTTGGTTGTTTCCCCCAGGCAGTCAGCAACACCATCCTTAGACTATCCAGGATCCAGGATATTGCTTTGGAGATGCCAAGGGTTTTAGGAGTTATGTGCCAGATCTCAGGGAAGATACCAAATATATTTTTATTATTATATAAACAATATCATAGTGGGTCCGATTCATGTTTGTATATCCCATAGAAACTAGCCAATATTTTGAAAATATTTGAGAATGGGTAGATGAACAGTAAGGATTAGTCTATAACGCTCAGACAGCTTGTTTCTCCTTGAATATAATGATTGGTGAGGAAAAACCACATGGAAGTAGCACATACTTTTTCAGACTGCTTGACTAAAAAGTAATTGCCATATAACCAACTGCATGTATTTAAAACATACAATTTGAGGGCTGGGATTGTAACTCAGTGGTAGAGCACTTGCCTCACATGTGTGAGGCACTGGGTTCAATTCTCAGCATCATGTATAAATAAATAAATAAAATAAAGGTCCATTAACAACTAGAAAAAAATAAAACATACAATTTGATAAGTTCTATCTATAAACACATGAAACTATCACCACAGTCAATTATAGTGAATATATCCATCAACCCTAGAAGTTCATGTGCTCTACAATCTCTCCTCCTGAGGTTGTGTGCCCCACACCATCCCCAAGAAATCATTATGTTGAGAGAAAGCAGCCAGCAAAGAGTGGTCTGCTTTCTATCGCCATAGATTAGTTTGTATTTTGTGGAGTTCCTATGAATAGAGTCTGATAGGATGTACTATTTTTGTCCTGCATTTCACTCAGCATAATGATTTTGAGATTCCTTCATTTCATTGTGTATACAATTTATTCCTTTTATTGTTGAGTAGTATTTAGTTGTACCAGTTTGTTTGTCCATTCATCTACCAATGGACATTTGGATTGTGTTCTACTTTGAGCTATTCTATGTGAAGCTGTTATGAACAGTTCTGTAGAATAATTCAGTGGCATATATTTCCATTTCTCTTAGGTAAATTCCTAGTACTAGAAATGTCTGAGTTACATGGTTAAATATATATATTTAACTTGGGAATTATTTATATGGGCTCTTCTGTGCTGCTCAGTAAATTATTGCAAACTTAATAGCTTTTAACAATATACATTTATCTCACATTTATAAGTCAGAATCTATAACAGCTCAGCTAGTCCTTTGCATAGGGTTCATAAGGCTGTGATCAATCTATTGACCAGAGCTGGGTTCTCTTGTATAGGCTCAACTAGGAAAATATCCACTTCTTTTGTGTGTTCTCAGAGCATACAGGTCTGTGGCTATGGTATTCATGGCAGCTTTTTTTTTTTCACCCCCAAAACTAGCAAGGCCAGCCTTTTTTCCCCAAAACTAGCAAGGCCAACGTATCTAATAAGAATTTAAGAAAATAATTCATGTGCAATAGCATCAAAAAGAATAAGATATTTATAAATAAACTTAACCAAGGAAGTGCAAGAGTTTTATACTGAAAACTATAAAACACTATAGAAAAAAAAATAGAGGAGACCTAAAGACTTGGAAATACATCTTGCATTCATGGACTGGAAGAGGTAACATTATTAAGATGACAGTACTCCCCATATATATCTTACAGGTTTAGTGCAATACTTGTCAAGTATCCAACTATCTGGTCTGGGCATGTAGCACAGTTGTGGAGCATTGCCTAGCATGTGAAAGGCTCTGGGCTTAATCTCCAGCACCATAGGAAATGAAGGGAAGCTGAGGCAGCCTCAGCAACTTATTGAGGCCCTATCTCAAAATAAAAAAAATAAAAAGGGTTCTGGGATGTAGCTCAGTAGTAGGGTGTCCCTAAGTTCAATCCCTAGTACCACAAAAAAAATAAATAAAGAAAAAGGAAAAAGAAATTTAAAACTTTCCGTATCAAAACATATTATGAAGGAAGCCAAAACAATCCTTTTGCAGTGTGCCACAAGCATCGCCAGCATGAACAACCACTTAAAACTGAACTCTTGGTTTGAAGGTTTTTTTTTTTTTTTTTTTTTTTTTAAACTATACAGGTGGTATGAAATTGGTCTACGGAGATGAGTGAAGCCTTGCTTGAGATTAGGAATTATCAGGGAAGATTTTTTTTCATACTGTTGCTATGGGTCAGAAGATATCTATGGATAACTGAAGTCTGTTTCTTTGTTCAGATGATGAGAGTAATGTTGCAGTCACCAGACCAGATTCAGAAAGTCCCTATGTGCTGAGTGAACCACATACTTTGGTGTTACCTCCAGTGCCACAGTCCAAGGTGCTGTCTGTCACCTCAAATCTGGTAAGCCCCACAAGGGATGTGTCAGGGAGCCTTGGACTGTTCTCTTTAGAGGAAATTTACCCAGAATTGTTTAATTGTATTATTTATGAGTCATATTTTTCAGTACAATTGTGTTTATCATAAAAACCCAGTGACTCTTTGCATTGATCAGCTTCAGTTTAAAAAATTAGTAGCAAATTAGAATTGATAAGTAATTCTCTTTTTTGAAGAGACATCCATAAGGTATACAATCTAGAATCAACCATGTGGTCAGCTTTCATCTAGGTTGATTGGGCATCCTTAACCTGCTGTCACTTAGGAATGCACAAGAAAGAAAAGGGCCTTGTCCTCTTGGGAGTATACTTTGGGTCTCAGGGCTACTGACCACAATGTAAAAGTCACAGGGAAAATGTATAAATTACCTAATTGGAAATATTTATGTTTGGCAAAGTTATGAAATCAAGCAGATACCTTCACCAACTGATGAAGAGTAATGTCTTCTTTTGACATGTAGATGAGTCTCTGTCAAGCAAGTGGTCATCAGCCAAATGCGAATGGTCTCTTGATTCATGGGATGCCTCTACAGCCAAGAAATCTCCACCTAATTGACAAGCTCCTGTAAGAAGTATAACATTTTAATAGAATTTAAGTAGATCACTGAGAAATAAAGGGAAAGCAAAGTCAGTCAATCAACATGCCTTTTTGAGTACCAATCACAGCGACACCTGGGGAGGAACACATCCAAGGCAAAAGGTCTCCACTTACAGGGAGCTGATAAGTAAAAAGTGAGACACACATGGGTAGAGATCTGACCATATAGGGCATTTTGTGATTGAGTGCTACCCAGAATGCATGATATGACAGGCCAAAAGGAGAAGGCATTTTGGTGGGTAAGTTTAAGTGGCGGTTTGGATAAGCTGAGAAAAGGAACAAGGCCATTCTAGGCAGAAAGAATAGTGTGGGAAACTTTTGGAGATGGGAAAATGCAAGATATTTAGGAGAGAGGAAAAGACCAGTTTTGCTATAGGATAGGGAGAGAAGTCAGAATTTTAACACTTCTGATCAAAGATTACTGACAATCTTCTAGATTTAAAATAGGCCATGGTATGATCAGTGGGCAAGGCTATGAAACTAATGAACCAATTATGGATGTTTTCAAATACCTTGTTTTTGAGATTCATCCATGTTGCACATGACCTCTATTTCCAAATAGTATTCCATTGTAAAAATGTGTCACGAGTACACTCCTGTTACCACTTCATTTGTTTCCAGATTGGGGCTATTATACATAAAGGCATTATAAATATTCTTGCATAGGTCTTTTTTAATGGACGTACAGTCATATTTCTCTTGGGTCAATACCTATAAGTGGAAGGGTGATGATAGATGTATGTTAATTGTCATGCTATTTCCCAAAGTAGTTGCAGAATTTTACATTCCTGCCAGTTGTTAGTTTCAGCTAGGGAGCACATATATTTAAATCATGGTATTTAAATCAGGAATTTGAAGACAGATTTTATAGCAGTGGAAAATAGATTGGATTGCAGCAGGAAGAAATGAATGGAGTCTATAGTAGGGTGCCAACATAAACTGTAAGATCCTATCCTCCTGCTTGAGTGCAGACCAAGAAAGAAATGAACTATTCTAGGAGATACTTACAAAATGAAATTCTATAGAAATAGAGGAATCAATATATCAGTTGTGAGATTTCAAGCTTAGAAGTTTTACCTGAAAGGATGAATTTCATTTAGGCTGTGAAGTTTACGATGCTGGGCCATATCTTGGGAAACGTGAAGAGGTTAGATTTGGACATAAATCTAAGAAAGTCACCTATCTAAAGATGATAATTGAACCCAGAATTATGAACAATAAATCCACAGAAAATAAAAGTTAACAGTCTAAACATTTTGTAACAAAAAAGCAGTGAGGGCCAGTGGTGCATGCCTATAATCCCAGCGGCTGGGGAGCCTGAGGTAGGAGGATCTCAAGTTCAAAGCCAGCCTCAGCAACAGCGAGGTGCTAAGGAACTCAGATCCTGTCTGTAAATAAAATATAAAATAAGGTTGGGGATGTGGCTCAGTGGCCAAGTGCCCCTGAGTTTAATTCCTGGTATGCTCCTTGCTCCCCCAAAAAAGGCATGAGAGTATGCATTTTTTTTAAAAAAGAAGAATGGTTAAAGACAGGACAACTAGAAAGATCTTTTGAAATCTTCAAGGTTTAGACCTATTCCTCCATGGTCATTCTCTTTTCAAAATCTTCTAAATTCTGAGGCATATTTTGCAATAAAGGACAAAAAAATGTGACCTGAAAGTTTGAGGAACTTGCTAAAAGCCACAGGGACAAGTGGCAGAATTTGGCTCCTTTATTCTTACATTTGCCTTCCATTTCACTGCACTCTTTTTTTTTTTTTTTTTTTTAATTTTTAATATTTATTTTTTAGTTCTCGGCGGACACAACATCTTTGTTGGTATGTGGTGCTGAGGATCGAACCCGGGCCGCACGCATGCCAGGCACGGCGCGCTACCGCTTGAGCCACATCCCCAGCCCCTTCACTGCACTCTTGAATGTCTTATAATAATCAAACTTCCTCTCATCTGCTTTAAAACAAAAAGGGAGAATACCCCCAAATCAGTAGGGCAGCATTTAAGCTACTAAACTGTTTAAGCATGATATTTCATTTATCAGAGACCTTTTTAAAAAATATTTTTTAGTTGTAGTTAGACACAATACTTTCACTTTATTTTTATGTGGTGCTGAGGATCGAACCCAGGGCCTTGCACGTGCTAGGTGAGCGCTCTACCACTGAGCCACAACTCCAGGCCCTATCAGAGATCTTAAGAGCTGTATTTCTCAATTTTTTGAAAATGAGGGTTCACAATTGTCCCCTACCCTTTGCAGCACAAAACCTAGAACCTTTGCCTGCTCCCAGCTTCCCAAGGACTCCAAATCTCTACCCCTATAGGTTCCAACTAGTTCAGCACTTTAATCTCTGCAGTGAGTGCCACATTGATGCCACAACTGTTCCCAAGCAGTAATATTTGCCTTTCTGCTGACATTCTCACAGCTGAAAAAGGGGAAAAGTCCCCAAATATAGGAGAGAGCAGATTTTTGGAAAGCACTGTGATGGCAGCTGAATAATGTACCTGCTTTCCCAAGTTTCCATTCTAGTAAATTATGTTTATGAATGAGCTGGGAGAAGTGGTGCACACCTATAATCCTAGCAGCTTGGGAGGCTAAGGCAGGAAGGAGGATCACGAGTTCAAAGCCAGTCTTGGCAAAAGCAAGGTGCTAAGCAACTGAGACCCTCTCTCTAAATAAAATACAAAATAGGGCTGTGGATGTGGCTCAGTGGTCAAGTGCCCCAGAATTCAATCCCTAGTACTCGCCCAGCATCAAAATTATGTTTATAATTGAAATAATGTCATCCTTTTTTTAAACTCTCATGCCTTCTTCATTCTAGATTACCTTCTGGAAACTGTTAACTGAAAGGTTTCTGTTTTGCTCTTTTTTGCCCCTGAATGTTTTACACTAAGGCTTAATTAAAAAACAAAACAAACAAAAAACCCTGAGACTAGTCTTCCCATACATGGTGATCTTTATTCATTGTGGGTTTCTGATTTGGCCACTAGAGATCTTGATGACAAGCTACTTATGAGGCCTGGGTCCAGTACCATCTTTTCAACCCGAAATTGGCCAAACCGAGCCTTGGAGCTTAGWACATCATGTCTGTCATATAAAGTGCAGTCTGCCAGGAGACGTAATCCCCCACCACGTACCCTTCATCCAATCAGCACAGCCACTCATGCACTGGAACACCAAGACCTGTGGAAGAAATCCTCAGAGGATCACAAGTGTAGGTTTCAAAAGCAGAATTTCTGGAATCCATGGTAAAACTAATCAATTTTACATAGAGAATGAAAAGACCAAAATCTGTCCCTAGAAACTAATCATTTAGAGTTAAATTTTGATGAAATAGACACTGGATCTTTCTGTTGATTTAGCTAAAAATTTAGAGAATGGGAGATTGGGGGACTCTTTCCCCTGTAATCCCAGCAACTGGGGGAGATTGAAGCAGGAGGATCACGAGTTGAAAGCCAGCGTCAGTAACTTAGAGAGATCCTGTCTAAAACCTACAAACTTGGGGATGGGGGTGTGGTTCAGTGGTGCCCCTGGGTCAATCCCCAATACCAAAAACCAAAAACCCCCCAAAAACAAAATTTTCAAATCTTTGATTTACATTTGTGTAAAAACATGGGCAGAACTTAAAGTTCTAGGCTTTTTTATTTCTCATCAATTTGGTTGTCTCATTAACAACTTTGTGCTTTCGCATCTTGGTCTTCACTGGTTGGATCTTCAGCCCTTTGGCAGTTGACTCGCTCTCCTCTCCCTCACCAATACCCCTGAATCGAAATAATCTGCTGCCACCTATTGGCACAAGTGAAGTGGAACACCTGAGCCCTGTGGGGCCACAAAGGCAAATGGTATGTCTCTTTCATATTGCCTCTCTGTGTACTGATAAAACCTCAGGGACAGTAATTCTGCAGGATTTGTGCTGTGGTCTTAATTTATATCATATTCTATCTAATATACAAGCTGAATTCTAATTTATAACAGTGGAATTGAAACTGCTTGGCCCAAAGTTACTACATCTGCCTGGGTTGATGTGGGACATCTGAAGCCCCCACTAGAGTTTTAAGAGTTTCTTTAATTTTTATTTCTTCTGCAGAAACCCCATGGTGATTCCAGTCGAGCCCGAAGTGCAGTGGTGGATGAGCCTAACCAKCAGCAGCCTCAAGATAGGCTCCTTTTATCTAACTTCTTCTCCAGGCCCAATACAACTCAGTCATTTATGGTAGAGTGACATGCTTCCTGTTTGCTGATGAAGAGAACTGAGGGAAAAAAAAATGAGTTTGTCTGACTTACCAAGAACCTAGATATTTCTGAGCACAAGCACAAAACTCCAGTGTATACCAGATCAGCCTAACTTGCCTGTCTACCCTGCTTTTGTGGAATTACACCACAAGTGGTATCAGAATGAGGCAGATGTGTCAGGACTTCTTCCCATTGATATTTTAAATGCTCACATTGCTTTACCATTTACTATATATTTACCACCTCTTTCAAGCAATAACAGAAAACTGATTGTTAGTTTGGACAGTGTGCACTGATCTTGCCCATTTGCAGGTTGAGAGTGCAGTCCCACCTCATCTGCTTTGTGGCAAAAGGGCTTGGATAGCCTAGGGAAGTGACCCACATCTCACACATTGTGGGGGTGCCCAATAACCAGGCCCCCCACATGATCCTACAACCATCAGCAGCTTCAAGAGAGGCTTTCAGGATGATGATTTGCAACCCACTTAACCCAGCTCATGACCCTTGAACCATAATTAGCCTGAGGCACTGCACAATCTCCCATCTGTTATAGAGTGATGAGAATAAGAGAGGGTATTTAGGGGGTTGGCAGAGCCCTGCTCCCTTTGGAAGCACTAGAGAAGAATCCTTCCTTACATCTTTCTAGCTTCTGGCAATCCTTGGTATTCCTTGGATTGCAGTTTCATTGCTCTGATTTTTGCCTCAATCATTATGTGGCCTTCTCTTCCCTGTGAGTCTGTCCAATTTCTCTCTTAAAGCTACTTGTCATTGAGGGGCTGGGGTTGTGGCTCAGTGGTAGAGTGCGTGCCTGGCATGTGTGAGTTACTGGGTTCGACTCTCAGCACCACATATAAATAAAGGTCCATTGAAAACTTAAAAAAAAAAAAAAAGAAAAACAAAAAACAGTATCTGTCCCTGTCCCTGAATTTAGGGCCCATCCTAATCTAGTATTACTCTACCTTAATTTGATAAAATCTGCAAAGATCCTATTTCCAAATATGTTCACATTCACAAGTTCCAGGCAGACATTAACTTGAAGAAGACACTATTCAACTTAGTAGACCTCAAGAAGCTTGCTTTAAGAGAAAACTCGCTGAAAACAAGGGCAGAAAAGAACTGTGAGCATTTCTTATTCTTAGGGTTTAATGTAGACCCCAGAAAGTCTGAGAATATCTTGGTCTTCTCATAACTTAATCCAGAATATTTTTAAAGCTTATGTTCTAGAGCTATATTCTTTCCTATCAAAATTTAACTTTTCCTCAGGAATAAAATAGAATGAACACACTTCAGGTCTCTTTTTATAATAGTAATAAAGTAAAAAATTCTCTTAGCCATTTCTCTCCCCATTTGCCCTCATAAGAGATGAACCAGTAGCTCATTGTAATTGAAAGACACTATCTGATCTGACCTTACAGAACCTTATTGTAGAATATAGGGCTTCATGGGAGAGGGGGATTCCCTAAATCTCCCAATTCAGCTCTCTTGATAGGGAATTGAGGGATGTTTTTTCATTCCAGAAGCCCCAACAGAATGGTATAATTACATCTTGAGATGTAAATTTAAATTCCTTGAGATGTCTGAAATGTTGTTTCCTAAAGCTAAAAAGAAAATGTAAAGTTAAGTTCAGTGTGGTAACTTCATGGGTATTTCAGTATTGCTGAAAAAGTAGATTGTTTTAAAAGTCAGCATGCAATAGATAAGTCAGATTAAACTCCCTTGAAGCCAATTAAAATACTAAATCATGGGATTTATAATATAGAGTCATACTAATAAAAGGCACAGAATGTGCAGTGTTTTTTTTACATGTCAATAAATGGCTTGGGATTGCCTAATAGGAATTCAATACAGGTTGGCACATGCCACCTTTTGCATTGGTGTCTATTTCAAGATTTTCCCTTGTAAACTTGCTGCAGTATTATCCTTTGGGAGAAGCTGTATAGTAAGATCTCTCTCTCTCCTTTTCTTTTAGCCAGAAACACAGTATCATCGTTCACATGCACTTGAGTATCCTCATCAAACCCGACCCAGTAGGGGATCTGCAGGTATGGTGGGGCTGCAGCTTTTATTTTTGCTACAGTGTGGATGTTACACTTATCTTCCCTTTCTACAGATTTTTTTTTGTTTTTAGTTTTTCTACATCTTTGTAAATTCCCTTAAAATTCATTTTGGAAGATGAGGTATAATAAAAATAGTTCAATTGATCAAAGCCAAAAAGTTCCAGATTTCTGTTTTTTTCATATTATGTAAATTAACCTTTCACTACTCTAGTAAACTACTTTATGTAATCATTTTAAACCTAAAATGAGTCATTTTCATATCATTCAAAACATTATTTAAGAACACAGCATGAGTTTTATTATGTAGGCAAAAATCCATATTCCTATGGATTAAATTGCTTTATAAAAGTTTACATATTAGACCAAATTAAGAAATTCTAAAATGTCAGAATATGATGAGTCTGATTTTATCTCATTAACTCTTATCTCAAAATTATACTCTAAATTAAATTATATTAACAAAGGAGTCATGGGAGAAAATTTCAGGATGTCTTTAATTTCTCATAGGAGTCTTCACTATAATCAGGGTCATTCTCATTGTCATAGTTGAAATTTAGAAGTACTGATCCAAGTTGAAATGTTTCCTGTTAATGATAAATCAGCAAGTAACAATAAAAACTAATCAAGCCATTTTTGTAGTTCAAGTGATTTCTCTTAGCCCAGTTCCTACTAATATCATTGCTTGGTAGTCTTTAAATGCTTTCATTGGACTCCTTCTACAAAAGCAATGCTACCCCTGAGCTACAATTATTATATTCAGCCACAGATGTAACTAATATTTAAAAATGGTGAGTGAAACATCTTTTTAATCAGTGGGTTCCTAAGCACAACTAGGTGGCTGCTTTTATTTCTTAAAAATGCAGGGTTTTTTGGGCTGGGGATGTGGCTCAGGTGGTAGCGCGCTCGCCTGGCATGCGTGCGGCGCCCGGGTTCGATCCTCAGCACCACATACCAACAAAGATGTTGTGTCTGCCGAGAACTAAAAAATAAATATTAAAAATTCTCTCTCCCTCCTCTCTCTTTAAAAAAAAAAAAATGCAGGTTTTTTTTTAATGGAGTAAAACATTTAAATTTGGATTTATTGGTAAATACATGCTTTACTACTTAGTTCCAGTTTCCAAATTTAAAATCTGATAAGTGGAACAAAAAGCCCTAGGATATAGATTTTCATTACCAAATCTAGACTATTTACTATTACTCTGTGATGTCATCTGTCTGACAGGTTCTCATTTGCATGCCTCTACAAAAATCTCAAAGCAGAGGTGGACCAATCTCTAAAACCAGGCAGGGACCATAAGACAAATGAGAAGAACCAATCAGGCTGCAGCAAACATGTGGGAAGACTTCAAGAATCAGTGTTCGACCATCAACTGATGGAGAGCGTGTATACAAGATCAACTAGAATCCATCTTCATGAAGAGTTATTTTCGTAAAACTGACTGAGAAAAACAATAGACTACCCACCAAAAGACTGACCAATAGACTACCCACCAAAAGACTACACGGGTAATGTTTCTATCTCCAATTATTGTCTTTCAGTATAAGTTAACCTATTCCACTCGACAGTAAAGACTGTACCCCAAAGATGTAAAAATGAATAATTGCCCCCAAATCACTGCTCATGTTTTCTGTTAAAGATGATTAGTACATTTATAGGATTCTATGAGATTATATATACAACAATAAGTAGCAAATGATTTGATATTAACAATATCACTGGCTTCAGAATATTTMAGCTTGTATTAATTTCTTGAGAGTTGTACTCAGTTTTGTCATTTTTAGGAGATAGTGCTACAAAAAAATCTGAGCTACTCATAAAATAAACATCATTCCTAAAGCTTTCTCATTAGATTTCTAATGAGAATGAAATGGAAGGGCTGAGTAATTAAAGGCCTCAGCATTGGTATAAAGTAACCCATATAACCAATTATATCATGTATTTTTTTAGAACAGCTCAACCTTGCTTGTGTGATGTCAGCTTATGCTAATTTACTTCTTAAAGTATTTTACTGGTTCTGTTTTTTCCCAAATATTTAACTTATCTAGCAAGCTTTTCTCCTGAAGCTCTAGAAAAGTTAGCATTATTTTTWAAATAATTTATAGAAACTATTTTTGAGCCACCAAAGCACAAATTCCTTAAGAATCTAAGAAACTTGGACTAAAAATTGACCCAATATAAACATATCCTAACAGCAGAAGAAAAGAACCTTGGCATACTTCAGATTTTACCATGRATGTTTTCCTGAGGGTACTCATAAATACAGTAGTGGTTTTAACTATGGCTTAAATGTATTTAAATTTCATTGAACTTACCTTAATTATCATTACCAATGTTAGATCTTATTGTTAATTTTCAGAGTGGATAAATTCAAAATCATAATTTGAGGTGACTAATTATATCAACGTAATACTTTATCACATGAGGACAGACGCTTCAAACAACTTGCACTGAATTACATTTTTAATACAATTAAGAGTATTTTTTAACTTGCTTGTAATCACAAACTGAAAACTGTCATGTGCTTACTTTTAGATAAATTATTATACATAATGTTCAATAGCAATAGGTTTGTTTTATGCATATGGTATATTGAATATGAGTCTACAAATCAGATTTTAAATTGAACAGTCCTTTTTAAAAATCCATCTATTCTAATGAATACATACCACCAACTCATAGAAATATAAGTGAAAATTTGTACTGTTTTCACAAATCAGTCCACTGACTGCCCTGTAACAAATCACTGGATCCATATATGGCTTGCCTTTCAAAGTTAAGAGTCAGAAGGTTATTTAGCCCAATTCCCTCATTCTTGTGTGTTTGTGTCTTCAAACCAGTGCAATTTTCTTTTACTTTAATATATAGAATCTGACAACTTTAGATCTTATTTTGTACAGAAGAGGGAGCTAAGGACACCAAGCAGCAATCAGACAGGACTATAACATATCTCTTTATGCTAGAGAAACCAGGCTTTCTATTGTCATGCTAACTAGGATTATTTTTTTGGCCTCTTCTTTATCCAAAACACCATATTTTATCTATATCACATTTAAATGATATAGGGGATCATTTAAAACGCCCCTAATTTTTTACTTATTTAATCATATATAAAATCCCAAAATGTTTGAAGTAATCCGAGTACTTGCTTCTTCTATACCTCAGGAATAGGAGTACAAAACCTGCCTCAGGGAGGGGAAAAAAATAGGAGAGGGTCTTAATATTGAAGATCATTAAGACCAAAAGCAAACTGGCCAATTATTTGGAAGACAGCTGCTCAGCAAGTAAGTGTTCTTTCTAACTAGGTCTAAAAGACAGGCACACACTGAAAGTACTACATAAAGATCCACATTCTTCCCCCGCCTCTCCAGTGCTGGGGATTAACCCAGCGACGCAAGTGTTATACCACTGACCTATATCCTTAGCCTTAGACCCACATTCTAGATATGGATGAAGAGCCATAGAAGTGCTATCAGAAGTATACCACCCTCCCAACTTCACTATCACATTCCTTCACATGAGGATATCACAGTGTCAGGTAATTTCTAGGTTACACTAAAAACAGCTTCAAAATTTCTGCTTAGTTTAGTCAATCTAAGTAATTTAGGCTGGAAAGACAACTTCTCTCAAGAGTTAGGTTAACTTTTTCCTTTAAGTGTTGACTACACCTTGCTTCCAGTGGCACTGATGAAAGCTTAAGGATCTTTGAAGAGAAAAATTCCATTATTTCTTTTCTTTCTTGAGAGCGGATCTTTTCCCTCCTCCTTTGGAAGGTTTGCAGTATTTTGCTTCCATCTGAGCCAGAAAATTGTCCATTTCCTTTTGCCGATCCTTTTGTCTACTCTGTTTGAAAAGTTAAAAAACAAGGCTGTCAAAATGCCACACTATCCAAAGTATTTCATGGTTACTAGAAATTGGGGGCAAAAAGGAATGGCAGAACTACACGGGGTTTCTTTTCTTTTTCTTTCTTTCTTTCTTTTTTTTTTTTTTTTTTTTAAAGAATGTTAGGGCTGGGGCTGTAGCTCAGTGGCAGAGCACTTGCCTAGCATTTGTGAGGCACTGGGTTTGGGTCCTCAGCACCACATAAAAAATAAATAAAATAAAGGCATTCTGTCCATCTACAACTACAAAAAGCTTTTTTAAATGTTTGGGTTTTTTATACCCAGTGCCTCACACAAGCACTCTACCACTGAGCCACAACTGCAGCCCCTACATGGAGTTTCTTTTAGAAAGTGATGAAATGTTCTACCATTAGATACCACAAATATGCTTCTGAAAATTATTTTAAAGATAGGAGTCAGAACTGAACAAATCTGCCAAGTTTACCTGAATGAGTGCTTTCAAGTTATCCACTCCTTCATCAAGCCCCAACTCCTTCCTGCTCATTTCTGCTTCTTTAGCTTCTTCTTGAGCCTGAAGCAGAAACTCTCATGAGACTTCAGGGCAACCAGGAAATGCTTACAGTAACACTTTCTTTCTCAAAAGAAATCCTTGATGATTTGAGAATTTTATCAACAGATAAAATGAGTAAAATTACATAAATGTTATTCACTAGATTGAACAACAAACACTGGTATCAGGCAATACATTCTCTAACTAAAAAAAAAGCATTTGTTTTTTTCTCATTTCTACTTGCTAGAAGTAGCAAATACCCTAACATCATAAACCACATGGTTATAGAAAGGAAAACATACTTCAGGTGCAATATACCTGTAATCCCAGAGGCTCTGGAGGCCGAGGCAGGAGGATCACAAGTTCAAAGCCAGCCTCAGCAACATAGTGAGACCCTGTCTCAAAATTAAATACAAACGAGAGCAGGGGATGTCGCTCAAGTGGTTAAGCATCCCTGAGTTCAATCCCAGGTACAAAGGAAAACATGCTGGGAGAGCCAGGAAAGGTCACTTAACCAAAGATGTTCTCAAAAGGATGTCAGACTATAGGTACTTCGGGATTTTCCTCTGGAAGCTCAATTTACTAAAATGAGACTAGGGACAGTCTGGTGAACAATTCTAGTTTAAAATGATTTCTCCTGAGCAGTCATAAGAAACGTTAACAAATTTAGTTTCGATCTTTATTGATTTCAAAGCTGACTATCCAATTTTCCAGAACACCACAATAAATGGTTCCACCCTCTGGTGAACTTTCCAAGTAACAAAGAATGCTGTTAACACTAGGGATGATGTTTAGATTATTATGTCAATAAATAGTTTCCTTGTATTCAAATTCTCTCTCAGCATCCCTCTCTCACAAGTTTACTGGATAGTCTCAAAAACAAAACCATTTTCTGTTTGACTCAGACCCAGCAAATCAACAAATTCACCCTGATCTACTGGAGGGGCTGTGCTATTTTCCCCTCAAACTCTAGGGATTTTCCTCAAGCTAATGGCCTATTATTGAATACAGGTATACTCAATTTCACCTGGGAAAACGACAAACTGTGAGCCTACTTCTAAGCAGATGTAGCCAATGAAGCAAAACAATTATTTTCTTATGCTTTCCACTTCTCTGCCTAGTTCAACAGAAATGGCCCTGGCCTTTTATGTAGACAAAACAGACCCTTTAAATTTGTACCATGTTATCTTGTTCCTAGAAGCTGCAGAACTTTTCACACACCTGAGTTAGCCACACAAAAGGAACTTCAAGTACCCACCAATATCTAAAATCTTTAATTGTCTGTTCTCCATGGTGCTGCAATTATGAAAGCCAAGCTAAAGAAATGATTACTTTGATATGAGTCCAAAGTAACTTTTCCAGAAGACCAGAGGCAGACATGGCTACTCTAAATTCACTCTCTCCCTAAACTCCATCTATCCTTAAGCACCTTCCTCTGCTATCATTCCCTGGCCCTACCCCAGTTTAATATGGGTGTAAAGATACTCAGGCCATAATACTTATTCTTAATAAGTATTTCTCAAAGGCCATTAAAAACACCCTTAAAAATATTCATTTGAAAAAAATGTGATCCAACTTAAGAATCAATCCCCAAAAAAGGCTCAAGAACCTGCATTTCTGCATTGTGAATTTTATTTAAAAATTTGATATACATTAGCTGTACAAATTTATGAGGTAAGCAATCTACTCTGCTCTGTACCCCTCCCCCACTGGGTACTGAAGATTGATCCAGGGGCTTACATATGTCAAGTTACGGTATACTCCTGGCTTTATTTTGAGACAGGGTCTTACTAAATTGCCCAGACTGGTCTCAAAGTTGTGATCCTCCTGCCTCAGTCTCCTGAGTAACAGGCAGATACCACAACACCCAATTTTTTTTTTCTTTTTTTGGTGTGTGTGTGTGTGTGTGTGTGTGTGTGTGTGTGTGTGTAGTTCTAGGGATCAAGCGCTCCACCATTGAGCTACACCACACTGCAACCTGTACTTTTTAACAAGACACAATCTCTTGCATCCTTCTCCTTGTTCATCAACCAAGTAAGGACTTGCCTCTATGTTACACACCTGGGCTCCACATCACTTCATCTGATGAGTGCTTCAGCAAAGTCATAAGAATTGGCACATATGAAAGATATTTCAGTATCACCCTAAGATGATACTAAACAATTCATGCAATAAAATCATCTTGAGCACCACATACCAAAATAAAGAGGTTTTTCTTGAACTGATGATCATATAATTACATGAAAGCTATAGACCAACCTAACCTTAACCCTTGTCCACAGTCTTTAAATATTGTTATAAATACTCTCAAATCCTATTTGTAGGAAATTAAGATACAAACCATCAATAGCATTTAAACTCTTACCCTCCTTTTCCTTGCATTCATTTTTTGTTTTGACTCTTTAACAAAGGCATTATAGGATGGGACCTCTTTGGCGTCAATAGCTTGCTGAATGATGTTCCTTATCCTGGGTTCCTCTGTGTACTGCACACAAAGCACAGACTCCATGATCTGATCCATGTCACCCTTGAAGTCCAGATAGGCCTGCTTAATATCAGCCAGTTCTTCTTCAGAACCTTTGTAGGTTTTTTCAAAAGCCTGAATGTCCTCTAGAGATATCTGATGATAAAGGAGATGGCTGTAATATCAAGAATCTTATTTTAAATAAAAGGTATACTAGTAAAACTGAAGATTTAAGTGCTTCTTCGCAAACACAACAGTGTTTTGAGTCAAAATTGTGGCAAGTAACCAAATTTCCCATGCCTAAGATTTTTTCAGAGTTCTCCCTACTCCATCAGTCACAACTGCTAAACTAGGAATCAGTGAAAAGAAATTTAAGTTTTCAAAAGGATGGGAAGAAAACCATATAAACATATACACAACTGAATACGTAAGATACATCCTGAACACACACTCCAGTCTTCGCCACACAATCACATTGTATCAGCATGAAATGAAAGGCCTGTTAATACTTAAGTGTGCCGTGTTAAATTCCTCAGTTTCTTCAAAATTAACACAAAATTAAAGGCCTCCCATGGCACTTAATGAACGTTTGTTTATTAAATGATGGGAATAATCAAAGAAATCTTCAAAGCCCACCTACCTTTTTAAAGAGTAACCTCCAGTAGGCCTCCCAGTCGCGGTCTTGGTTGAGCAACGTAGAGTCCTCGTCCACTGTTCCCTGCTCATCATACACTGTTCTCTGCTCTTTGTCACTTAGAACCGCATAAACTCTCCCAAGGATCTGAGAGAAAAAAGCATCCAAAACTCACCCGTGCCCTTACCCACACCGCGAAAAATAAAGGTAGAAAACGCCAGGTCAAGATCACGCACCTCCCCTAGGCGGTTCGCAGTGGTTGGAAGCCCAAAAGACTGAATCCCAGCGTAGTCACACGTACCTGGAACCGGAGGGTAGCGTCTTTCTTGTCTCCCTCGTCCACCCGGTCAGGGTGAACCTGCAGGGACACTTTGTGGTAGCCGCGACGAACCTCGCCGTCTGAGGCCTCGCGCCGCACGCCCAGCACCCGGTAAAGGTCGGCGGTACCGAACACCTGCTCGCATTGCGCCAACAGCCCCATGCTGAGAAGCGGAAGGGCTCCACGAAAGAAGCAAGTCTTCTTGGCACCTGACTTAGTTTGCCTGGCTTCCTTTTCCCGCTCAAAAAGCCCAGGGCGCCTGCGTCACAAAATACGCGGAAGGGGCGGGGCCGCGCCGAGTAGACTCACTTTACGGCCGCTGCAAAGAGGGCGTGGCCAAGTTTTCCCCGGCCTTGGAAAAACCAGACCCGGAAGTGCAACCGGCACCTGGGTTTTCTAGAGCTGGAGCCCTAACCGTCACGGGCCCGCCACATCCTCTCGATCCCGCCCTCCTCTTGCTGTGGAACTTTATCTCCTATGTTGCTCCCAGTGTTCCAGCAGGCACTTCTTCACTGATAAGAATATCCGTGTATTAGGTTGTATTTACAAGTCAAAGTTTTTTTTTTAAATAACTGGTCAGTATCAGATTCAGTAATTTCACATGGCTCAACCTGTTAAGTAAATTTGTATTTTCCTAAATAATTCAGTAGTGTTAGGGTACTTTCTTTCAAGCCCTGCAGCAAAAAGACTATTTGAATAAAAGCACAAAACACCAGTCTTAGTATTTTAAAAAACGAAACTCTGACAGTACTCATGTCAACCCCAATCATCTTCCTGCTCCAGAGTTACCTTATACACTGGAGGAGGTAAGATGACCCAACCTCTCATTTTAGTAAAGACCGAAGCTGCTGAAGCAGAAACTATTTAATGCTTAGTAAAGTTCACAGCGGAATTTGAGCATATTGGATTTGGGGGGACAGCAGGGTGGCTGGGGCTATCATCCAATACATGTGTGAAACAGGCTTGGAGATCCAAAGCAAGACTAAGGCTGGAGAAAATTTTGGAAATCAAGATAAGCCCACACAAGAAATATGTGTATACAGATCTTAGTCCAGACAAAGGATAAACCAGAATGGAAAGTGAGTTGAAAGAAACTCGTTGGAGCTCAAAATAATAACCCATTTCACATCAGTTCTCCTCACAATCAGGAATTTCCAGAATCCCATAATCCTCTGCCAGAAGTTCCTGCAAAGCCTCAAACTTTCCAAGCCACGTTGATCTTTCAAACATCCAGAGTTGCCAGGGTTTTCAAAAGCATTTCTCAGAACCCAGGTCAAATCTACATAAACTCCATTGCCTGTCTCGTCATGTCTTGAAAGTCTTCTCAAAGCAAGTAGAAGCCAACCAAAACAATCCTAGGGGAGTTTCCAAGACTCTAGAATTTGAGATGACCATTAATTGTTCTCAGAATATAGAACCCAGAGAATACGTTTGAATATTGATAGTTTTTTTTTTTTAAAGAGAAAGAGAGGAGAGAGAGAGAGAGAATTTTTAATATTTATTTTTTAGTTCTTGGCGGACACAACATCTTTGTTGGTATGTGGTGCTGAGGATCGAACCTGGGCCGCACGCATGCCAGGCGAGCGCGCTACCGCTTGAGCCACATCCCCAGCCCTAGAAACTTTTTAATTTCCTGTATCTCAGTCTTTTTCTTTTCCTTTCTTTTTTTTTTTTTTTTGTCTTATCTTGGTGCCAGGGATTGAATTTGAATCCAGGGGTGCTTAGCCACCAAGGCACATCCTCAGCCCCCTCCTCTTTTTTTTTTTTTTTTGAGACAGGGTCTTGCTAAGTTGCTTAGGGCCTAAGTTGCTGAGGTTCGCTTTGAACTTGCAATCTTCCTGCCTCAGCCTCCCAAGCCCCTGGGATTATAGGCATGTGTCAACACACCTGGCTGTATCAGTCTTATACCAAACTTTGAAATATATATTATCCAGAAGGCACTAAAACCATGTAATTTATGCTTACAGTTATGGAATTCTGCATCTCTTGGGGGACAGATACTGTGATATTTTGTTTTGGTAACCAATCATTTATGTTACCAGACTCATGACACCTAAACATGATCCTATTACTGAATTTCTTAGTAGACTTTTAAAAAGCATCCCACCTTTATTTATTTTTTCCCCTATACATACAACATATGTTGAACAGGACTTTCCAGGTAGGTACATTGGGGTGCTTTACAAAATCAGCTTCCTTCTAATTTCTCATCCTTAAAAGGTAGGCTATTACAGCCCAAAAGCAATTTTCATGATCAATTTGACTTTGTAAAGTTACAATTACATGTCAAGCAAAACAATCTACAATTACAAAAAAAAAAAAAAGAATAAGAGATCTATGTTCTCATGGGATGATCAAGAATGATTAAGGAAACATTTGGATAGGTCAAGTCACTCTGGTTGGGAGTTTTTTTTTTGTTGTTTTTTTTTTTTAAAGAGAGAGTGAGAGAGGAGAGAGAGAGAGAGAGAGAATTTCCAACATTTATTTTATTTAGTTCTCGGCGGACACAACATCTTTGTTGGCATGTGGTGCTGAGGATCGAACCCGGGCCGCACGCATGCGAGGCGAGCGCGCTACTGCTTGAGCCACATCCCCAGCCCCATGGGAGTTTTTGAAGCAGGAAAGTTTTGAACTTTAATTGTAAATTTGCCCAAATGATCCAAGGACAACCCAAAGTCCAATCTTCCCCACAGCTACAGTTTTTCCCCAAAATGACATCCAGAAATGCTTAATATCTAGACCCAGCTCTTATACAAAAACAAATCTCTGGGCTCCGCTTAAGCTAGGCCAGAAGAATATGGTAACTTAGAAAACTCCATTTATTGACCTCCAAACCCAACAAATTTATGAGCTCCACACAAGTGTTTTAGGGGACCTTGACTTTGTAACCACTGTTATATTCACTGAAGTCAACTTGCTTCTGTTTCTATAGCTTCTGTATCTGTTTTCTGTGAAGCTAAGAGAAGTTCACGTGCCCGTTTTCTTCGCAGTCTCTCAGCATTTGTGATCACCATGGGATGCAGAGGGAAAAAGCCAGAAAGACCTAAAAGCAACAGGATATTCATTTATTATAATAGACTACAAGCCAATGTTTCCCTGAGAAGTTTGCCTCACAGAATTGAGGTCTGAGTTCAGACCCAGAGTATGGATGTAAATGCCTCTCACCTACCCAACTTTCTCCTTCCTCTTCCTCCAACCTCCTCCCTCCATTTACTGCAAGGAGTCAGTGGATGATGTCTGTTTCCTAACATTATTCTCCTTACTTGAAAAAAAGATAAACTAACAGATGGCCATTGGAGATATGTTATTCCCATTTTTAGCATAAAATCCCAGCCACTTATAAAGGCTTCATAAAGAAGTCCATAAAAGGAATCTCCAGATTCCAAATGACAATTAGATCACAACTTCAGTTTCCACTCCAGTCCTGAGCAGTCTGGAGGGAATGAAAAACATTCTTCAATCTCAGATGATGAGAACTTAGAACTGACTTCAGTGTAAAATCCCCCCAATGAGTTAAGACCAGAGCTGAGTTACCCAGAAGCTTCTCCATAGGCTTAGAGAGGTGGGCTCCACAGCCAATCCAATGCCGGATCCTTTCCAGGTTGAGGGCAACGAGTTTTTCTCCATGACAGTTGGGCAGTGGATCATAAGAGCCCACCTGCTCCACGAAACGGCCATCCCTGGGACATTTGTTGTGAGCCGCCACAATACGGTAAAAGGGCCGATTGGTGCAGCCACTCAGAGCAAGGCGGATGGTTAAATGGCCCCCATGATAGGCCTTGCAGAGGAGGGTAGCTATAGAGAAATAATTGGTTAAGACACAAGATCAGAGAGCACAAAGCAGGCAAAAATGAGATAGTCAGAGGAACAATTCCCTTCTTCCACTCAAATGTCTTCAATCCCAATGTTTTCTAGTTCATGTGGCTTAGATACCATCCTCTTTGTGAAACATCCCTTCACTGCTCCAGCCAGAAATGCTCGCCTCATTCCCAAATCCATTCCGAAAAGGCCTACCATTTACAAACTCTTTGACTTTGTCATACCCTTAACTGCCTCATCTGTAAAGTGAGATGAGGGTTTCTGGAAGGAAAATTTGAGCAGAGGGTCAACTGTAACGCTGTGTGGCTGATCCAGCGCGCCTAGGAGAGCGCTGCTGCCTCTAGTCCTGGACGCCCCAGCTCCCGCCACCGCCCGGAAGGTCCCGCGGGCCACGATGACTCACTGAGGTGGACCATGGTGGGGTCCACGTGCGACTCCTCGGATCGTCCCGCTGCTGATACAGACCCGCAGGTGAAGTCGCAGGGCGACTGGGAGAGTCGGCGCCCAGCTGCTGGGACGCCCCGGAGCTTCCGGAACCCAAACGCCGCAGTCCCGGAAGCTGGCGTCCCCTCGCCCCGCCTCTTCCGCTCTCCCCCACCTTGTTCCCAGGGTGCTACACCATGCGGCCTTCGGGGCGGTCTAGTTCTTAGGAGTGGATGTGTGACCCTCTCTGGGATGAGTGCCCGCTGGAGTGGGGAACTGGGGAAAATGCCGGTCACGTTCAGGGGAGGGCTAAGTGTTCCCCAAACCCATACATCCCGCAAACGTGTTTTGAGCACCTGGTGGTGCCGCGGCGCCGTCCTGAGAACCTAAATACAAAAGGGTGCTGTCCTCTCCCCTCAGGGAGCTCTGTCTAGTAGGGAGTCGGTGGGAGCGCACCAGAAAAGCTAAGGGCGGTCTGTACTCACAGCGGGGGTAAGTAGAGAAAGGGAAGCCGAGAAGGTGACGCCGGGATTTTCTCGGGAGACTTCGCAAAGGGGACAGCGTTTGGGCCGAGACAAGGAGTTTATCTTTCTGTTTACTAGTTTGCCTCTCACTTTTCCTCTTACTCTTTTCCCACTCCCAGAGGCAGTCACATCATATTAGGAGAACCTTTATTCCTGCTTTTGCTGTACTGTGATCCAAGAAGGCAGAAGTGGAGTATGATTTGTCATCTTCAGTGAAGAGATTGGCATTTCTTATAGGGTGTTGTCTTCATAGACCTTGTGGTTTAGATCCATGAAAATACCCCTGGTTCATTAGGAGTTAGAACCTCAGACTGCAGCAAAGCTTCTTAGTTCATCGTTGGTTCCAAAGGTCCTGGCCACAACTACTATGCTCTTTGCTCTAGTAAGTTGACCCAGCATAGGAGTCTTTTAGGCCCACCTTTGAAGATGATGGCTTAATTCCAAGTTCCAGTACGTGAACCTGGCTATGGACATTGGCAGCTGACTGTGACTCCACTGTACCTTAATTTAATTTCTATACATAAATTATATAATGATTTATACATTTATATGATCTATATATATATATATATATATATATATATATATAGTACATACTACTTATAGTTTAGTATACCCTACCTCCAGAACCACACTGATGAATTGTCTGTCTCTTGTTTACATTTTTATTATGATCCAGTTTA